TGGACGGTCGAGTTCTACCAAAGAGCCATTCATTTCGGCTGGTCGGAGTCCAGATCACCGAGGACCTGATCTGGCACGAACACATCTCTTCAATACCTGCAGCTGCTGGGAAAAAGCTAGGCTATCTGTTTAAGATAAGGCCTAGCCTCGAGTATTGCTCACACATTTGGGGTGCTGCCGCCCCGACTACATTGTCCATGCTCGATGCTGTCCAGAGGAGGGCGGTCCGACTGATCGATGACTCTTCTCTAACAGACAGTCTCGGGACTCTTTCGCACCGGCGGGCCGTCGGCGATCTAGCTCTTTTCTATCGCTACACCAACGGGCTTTGCTCCTCAGAGCTCTCTTCCATGATGCCGCCGCGCGATGTGCCTGCCAGACAGACCCGCCTGACTTCGGCGTCCCATCCTAACCGTGTCAAACTTCGTACATCCAGAACTGGCCGATACGACCGCTCCTTTGTCCCGAGGGTGTCTAGATTGTGGAACAAACTACGGGAGGAAGCTTTTCCCAGTTCTACTAACCTTAGGCAGTTCAAAAATCGTATTAACAAAATTTCTTTGGGGTCATCATAGCAGCCGCGGTGTTCCGGCATTTAGGCTTCTGCCTGCGCGGCTGTTTCGATATAAAAAAAAAAAATAGATTTCAACCACTCCTAGTAATTTCTCATCTAATAGATATTGATTCAGCTTGTGGAGAACTCTGAATGAATAATTTAATTCTTGTAAAGGATGATCCCTCGATTCAATTTTTGCCGAAATAGGAAAAAGGGAGGCAGCTGCCCCCCTTACCCTTCGTCTGGGTACGTATCTGCTTCACTGTAATGTATAGTTTCAACCATTTCAAATGATTGTAAGAAACGCAATGAGCAAACTGTCGAGCATGAATATTTTGGCTAATATTCGAACTAGCGCCTTAGCAAAATGTCCCCGGATTGCCAAAAGCGATAGAGTAGACTTATTCTAACGATGTTCGACGCCTTTTATTGCCTTCCCATAAGTGAATTTCATTAATAGTTCTCTGCGAAGGATCCGCCTCAGTTGGCGAGATTATTACCATAAACCGATAGGAAGATTCAATCGTCGAGAATTGCGAACAAGATGAAAAGTGTACTTTATACAGGGTTTTAGACGCTTTGAGGAATTTTATCTAGCCGGGCTTACACGGCTTTGTACAAAGTTGGGACAGTTTTCTTTCTCATGTAGATTTCCTAACCGACATACCTACTATAATACAGAGCGCTTCGAACCTCGCTACAATGGACACTGGAGCATTAACATCTCATAAAATCCTTATTGAACCACATCTGACACCTATTCCAATATGCAAGATGCATTACCATTGCTACAAAACATATCTTCACATATTTTCACCTCACTGAGAAAAAAATTTAACCAAACCAATTAAACATTTAATTAGGCTTATTCGACTTCCAGACCCTATATACAATATAAAAGAAAAGCACGTCAAGCCTATGTTAAGCACATGTTTGGTATAAATGCCTTTCATGTTCATATACACCGGGTGATTCTCCAAGGTGGCTCACCCATATAACTTTTTTATTATTGAAGATAGAAAAACGAAATTTGGGTGTTGCGTATTATACAGGGTGTTTCTTGATGATATGCAAATATTTAAGGGTGTGAATCTAGATGAAAAATTAATGTTAGTTTGCTTTATAAACTATGGTCCAAAAATGTTTCCTTACAAAAACTCGGGGTGTTGAAGTTTAAAAAAAAAAATGGAAATTAATTCATATTTTCAGAACCGCTTCAGATATTTCACTGATATTTAGTACGTAGTGAAAGTTAATAAAGTTGCATATTTTTCAATGCAAAATAATTTTTAGCTTTAACAGTGGCATGCGTACGGGTATTGACTTCGATATTTTGTAATGAACAACAACAACTGACAACATAAACTTAACATTAAAACCAACAAAATAATTACCAAAATTGTTGAAAATGGCCCCCTTCACTTAGTATGTATGCGTCCGATATTTTATAAAAATTATTTTTGAATTCACCGTTCAATTTAAAATAAATGATCTCTTTTGAATTGTTTTCCTTTGACGCGCCATTTTGGAGTAAATAAATAGAAACCGTTCTATTGTCCATCTTGCAAAATTATTATCAATCTAATTGGAAAAATTAAACTCATTAGGGGTACTGAATAACAACAGCTGACAACGTAAACATAACATTAAAACCAACGAAATTATTACAAAAATTGTTCACTTAGTATGCATACTTCCGCTCTCATTCTCATGGAATTGCGCACTCCTTGAAATATCCCTGGAGTGTTTTTTATTCTATCACAAGCTGCAACTGTTCTTTCTCTTAATTCCTCTACAGTGTTAATTGGAGTTTTGTACACTAGTGTCTTAAGATAGCCCCATAAAAAGAAATCCAGACTGTTGAGGTCTGGGGACCTTGGTGGCCATTCTTGGGGCCCACCGCGGCCAATCCAACGATTTGGATAAACAGTTTGTAAATAATTACGAATCGCTATTGTTGTGGAAATTCTGAATGGCATTTCGAGAAAAATTAGCTTCGTCCGTAAACAGAATCACTGATTCAAATTGCGGATTTTGTGTAATTTTTTGAAGATACCACTGACAAAAGGTCACACGCCTTGGAAAATCAATGGTAAGTAATGCCTTTACTCCTAAAATATGGTAAGGATATAACGAAAAAACTACTAAAATTCTCCAAACAATTTGATGGCAAATATTTAAGTGTCTAGCGATCTTCCACGTACTCGTTTCAGGATGTTCTGCGACTTGGTGCAGCACTGCTTCCTCAATTTCAGGTGTTCTCACGCGTAGAGGTCTACCTTCAGATGTTCCTTTTCGGACAGAACCAGTTTTAACAAGATGACGATGAATATTAGAAAAGGTTCGACTATTTGACAAAGCACGATCGGGATATCTCTGGTGATAAATCCGTCTGGCTTGCTCACCATTACCGTCGGCAAGGCCTTATACGTAATGCATTTCCGCCATTTCTGCATTTGAATAATTCATCATTATTAACAAGATTGTAAAAACTAAATAATGAAAAAGATTTCACAGCGAACAGATATGAATAACAAAAACTCGTCACATGTCAAAAGCCAGTGACATATTCCAGAGCTACTAGACGTTTATTGCTAAACTGCATTCTTCAATCATTACATTAATTTTCTCGGACAATAGAACGGTTTTTATTTTTTTATTAAAAAATGGCGCATCGAAGGAAAACAATTTAAGAAAGATCATTTTTTTTAACTTGAACAGGAGATTTAAAAATAATTTTTATTTGGCAAAAAACCATTGGCGTACCATTTTCTTCTTAAAAAATATCGAAGTCAATACCCGTACGCACGTCACTGTTAAAGATAAACATTATTTTTGCATTGAAAAATATGTAACTTTACCAATTTCCACTACGTACTAAATATCAGCCAAATATTTGAAGTGGTTCTGAAAATATTAATTAATTTCTATTTTTTTCCCTAAAACTTCAACACCCCGAGTTTTTTTAAAGAAAACTTTTTTGGGCCATAGTTTACGAAGCAAACTAACATTAATTTTTCATGTAGATTCACGCCCTTAAATATTCGCATATCATTAAGGAACACCCTGTAGATGAATTTACATTTTTTGACATTTTCACTTGCCTTGATGTACTTCCGGTTTAACCGGAAACGACTCCAACTTTCGATTTTTAAATGGAACACCCTATAAATTTTTATTTATTTCGATCTAAAATGAGATTCTGAACTCAACAACACCTTATTTGTCAATATTTGACAAATAAAGTCATTTTTATTTCAATTTTTATTTTTCGATCTAGAATGACATGGATCCTGTAAATCGATTTATTTTTGGTCAAGTTACACGGAAAAAATACGATATTGAGACGAGCGACTTTACAGTTGCTTTAAAGATTTTCTATATGTTACAAACACTAATTTTTTCAGTTGCATTAGACGAAAGTTTGTTTCTGACCGTTTTATTAATCCGATTGAACATACTCAAGTTGGTAAATCGACTTTCTTCTGCATAAATAATTTTAAGCGGAAAACGTACATCTTCTCTGTATTTTGTCAAAAACCTGTTGCAATAAGTTAATATGTGGTTGTGGTCGTTAACGTAAAGATGTTGACGTAATTGGCACTTGAGTGGTCGATATTTATTTTTGTGAAGAATTCTCCAAACGGATGAATAACTTTTAGTTCTTTTTCTTCACTGACGATAAAGTTTTTGGCATTTTCTTCTGATTCATTTCGCATTTTCTTTTCCAGTCTTGGAAAATAATGCCGAGTGGGATGGAAAAGTTCCCATTCCACCACGTCAGCAGTAAATCCCTTATACAGAGGGGGACGAGAAATATTCTAACGATGGTCATGGGTCACTAACCACCTTACGCTTGAGTGTTTCACTAGATGACCATAATTGATTCACTTTACAGCTACTATACCAACAACGACAACTTTCGAATATGAGGCTTCGAGCTAAAATCACAAATGGAACTGAGCAGTTCGAAGCGCGTTTCCGGCACCGCGTCTGTCGCATATTCCCGATCATTCACTAATGAAGGACCGAGTCCTGCCGAGTCTGCGATTTCAATAAATAGTTTAACTGTCTTTACCAAAGTGTTTAATTGTTTTAAATGTACCTTTTCTACATACAAAAATTACCTAAACTAATTGAATAGTTTAATTAAACAGTTACATGGTTTGCTGTTTTCAAGGAATTGTATTACTTTCAATTACACTGGTTCCAGAAAATTCGGTTTAATCAAACCGAAGAATTTAGTTTCTTTAAAAAGTTGAAAAATCTATTCCAGATAATGATACATTTCCGGAACAACTGTTCAGTTGACCAGATTTTCTCTGGGCATATTTGCAAACAGTATTGATCATATTTGCAAAGTACATCCAACATAATTACAAAATACATTCCTCATTTTTGGAACTTTTCAAATTCTTGAAAACGTTTTTACAAAGTGTTTTTTTTTTAGATTGACGTCCATGGTACATGGTTTAGCGGACATAGTATATCCATGATCGGCTTCTATCAGGATAAAAGCACTGCTCAAGCTTCCCATCATCATGTAAAATGTTTCGTGAAGTCGCCAAGCTTCAAGGATCTCAACATTGATCTCCAATTTTATCGTGACAATAATGCCTCGAAGTTAGATGTTAAGGTAAGTTTTTATTTATATTTAAACCACCACGAAGGCATCAGGTCAAGCAAAGCCTTTCCAGGGTTTGCAGTAGATAGGAACTTTTCCAATGAAGTCTGCACCGATTAACTATCCCAAATTACGAGGTGCACTCAATATGAGAAAGAACGGGGGAGTTGTGGCTTTTGTCCGCAGCAGTCTTTCCTGCTCCAGAGATGTTTCTTCGGAATCAAACCGGAAGGTCATTCTATGGCTTGGCGTCAACTCTAAAACATCCCCCAAATTTATTTGCTGCCTTTATCGCTCTCCCTCGCACCATAACTGGGGTGGCCTACTTGAATACCTCGCCATCAAGATCGATTTCCTGATCATCAGTCACCCCGCTTCACAGGTTGTTCTCCTCGGTGATTTCAATGCCCACAATGAGCTTTGGTTGGGCTCAAACAAGACCGACGCAGCATGTCGTTGCAGTTGAAGCGTTCGCTCTTAATCAAGGGCTGACCCAGCAGGTGAGGAGACCTAGTTTTTCCTCTGCCTCATCACATGCCAGTAGCCTGCTAGATCTCTTTCTGGGCACGCATCCTCTTCCTTACAGCACAGCTGTCTTGTCCCCACTGGGTAACTCAGATCACGCTGTTGTGGAGGTTAGGTTCCAGTCGGAACCCGATGTGGTAGCAAAAACTCGCCCACGCCGCAAAATTTGGCACTACGGTCATGCCGACTGAAAGGGGCTCAGAGACTTCTTCACTACCTTTCCTTGGAAAGATATCTATTTCAATGACGCGGATTTCGACTGTCTATTCTTCGATAACCGAAATTATCCACGTCGGAATGGAGGAATACATCCCTCATACAGTGAAAGAACCTAAACCAGGGTCTAACGGCTTGTTTAAAAGACCGTGTGACACTGCTTGCCAGCAGAAGATCCAGACAAAACCCCACTGTAGAGAACAGAGCCGACGTCGAGTCCAGAAACAAATATAACAAAGCGGTTTGCAATGCCAAAAACCAGAACGATATAAAAGTTAGGCACAGGGTAATTCGCAGCGCAATGGCAATCGGTCTTTCTGGATGCTGGCCAAGCAGATAAAAAAAAATTCTTACACAGTAGCCTTCCACTACTTACGTCAGGATGGAACGGTTGTATTCAGCTCAAAGGCCAAGGCGGAAGTGCTTGCCAAGATCTCTGCCAACTCCAACATTCTCGGGACCCTTTTGAACCGGCGGGCCGTCGGCGATCCAGCTCTCTTCTACTGCTACACCAATGGGCTTTGCTCCTCAGAGCTCTCTTCCATGATGCTGTCGCGCGATGTGCCTTCCAGACAGACCCTCCTGACTTTGGGCTCTCATCCAAACCGTGTCGAACTTCGTACATCCAGAACTGGCCGATACGACCGCCCCTTTGTCCCGAGGGTATCGAGATTGTGGAACAATTTACAAGAGGAAGCTTTTCCCAGTCCTACTAACCCTACGCAGTTCAAAAGTCGAATTAACAAAATTCCTTATCGATCATCATAGCAGCCGCGGCGTCCCGGCATTTAGACTTCTGCCTGCTTCGGTATAAAAAAAATCTGTTTAATATGCAGTGTTACGAGGCAGCCATTTAGTAAATCTCTGAAATGAAATATAGACAGAGTCGAATGCCTTTTAGAACGAATAGTCATTCGTTGGTTGTCTAGAAGAATAGAAATATTGTTTATGAGATTTAAACTAAAAAGCCTTATTTCCTGATGTTTACTTGTTGCAGGCGCTCTCAAATAATAGTGACGAATACCAACTCTACTTCCACCATCAGGCAGTATCTGATGTGGAGGTGAAAACTCAAGCAAAGCTCAAAAACAAGAACAAGCTGTATTCGTTCGAGAGTCGAGTATATGATGGCGAATACAAGCGGATAGACGCCGAACTTCATATCGATCAGTAAGTTAATCTCGCTAGTATTGTGTGATTAGTTTTTCAATGCTAGGAAGTTGTTTCACACGTTAAGATCGATCAAAACTTTGACGGAAGTTCTCTCAGCGTACTTTTCGCTCGTGTACAGGGCAATTCCTACCTAAGACTCAGCTACAAATCGTTATTTATGGGTTGCTATAATTTTAGTTCACCTAAAAAAATTCGAAAACTACGCATCACAGAAAATACTGATGTAACCTACTTAACGCTATTCATTTTAAAACAAATATACTCACATTTTCGTTCTAGTCTCTATGTATAAGATATTCAAAATATAAGTACTAATCAATATTGATATTAAAGAACTTGAAGAACTCAAAAGATACTAAGTATAATTCAGTCAGCTATGGCTAGATAGTACATAGCAGCGCTGTTTGAGCAGTTACAGTAGGTACTGAAAAGAGTGCCGCCATGATGAAATAGTACTTGCGCTTACGTGCCAGATTTATAATGTTCATGTCGATCGGCTGTCTATTTTTTTTTAACCGCTTCACAGAAAATACTGATGTAACCTACTTGACGCTATTCATTTCAAAACAAATATACTCACATTTTCGTTCTAGTCTCTATGTATGAGATATTCAAAATATAAGTACTAATCAATATTGATATTAAAGAACTTGAAGAACTCAAAAGATACTAAGTATAATTCAGTCAGCTTTGGCTAGATAGTACTCGTACATAGCAGCGATGTTTGAGCAGTTACAGTAGGTACTGAAAAGAGTGCCGCCATGATGAAACAGTACTTGCGCTTACGTGCCAGATTTATAATGTTCATGTCGATCGGCTGGCTAATTTTTTTTGACCGCATCACAGAAAATACTGATGTAACCTACTTGACGCTATTCATTTCAAAACAAATATACTCACATTTTCGTTCTAGTCTCTATGTATAAGATATTCAAAATATAAATACTAATCAATATTGATATTAAAGAACTTGAAGAACTCAAAAGATACTAAGTATAATTCAGTCAGCTTTGGCTAGATAGTACATAGCAGCGATGTTTGAGCAGTTACAGTAGGTACTGGAAAGAGTGCCGCCACGATGAAACAGTACTTGCGCTTACGTGCCAGATTTATAATGTTCATGTCGATCGGCTGGCTATTTTTTTTAACCGCATCACAGAAAATACTGATGTAACCTACTTAACGCTATTCATTTTAAAACAAATATACTCACATTTTCGTTCTAGTCTCTATGTATAAGATATTCAAAATATAAGTACTAATCAATATTGATATTAAAGAACTTGAAGAACTCAAAAGATACTAAGTATAATTCAGTCAGCTATGGCTAGATAGTACATAGCAGCGCTGTTTGAGCAGTTACAGTAGGTACTGAAAAGAGTGCCGCCATGATGAAACAGTACTTGCGCTTACGTGCCAGATTTATAATGTTCATGTCGATCGGCTGGCTATTTTTTTTAACCGCATCGCAGAAAATACTGATGTAACCTACTTGACGCTATTCATTTCAAAACAAATATACCCACATTTTCGTTCTAGTCTCTATGTATAAGATATTCAAAATATAAATACTAATCAATATTGATATTAAAGAACTTCAAGAACTCAAAAGATACTAAGTATAATTCAGTCAGCTTTGGCTAGATAGTACATAGCAGCGATGTTTGAGCAGTTACAGTAGGTACTGAAAAGAGTGCCGCCATGATGAAACAGTACTTGCGCTTACGTGCCAGATTTATAATGTTCATGTCGATCGGCTGGCTAATTTTTTTTTGACCGCATCACAGAAAATACTGATGTAACCTACTTGACGCTATTCATTTCAAAACAAATATACCCACATTTTCGTTCTAGTCTCTATGTATAAGATATTCAAAATATAAGTACTAATCAATATTGATATTAAAGAACTTGAAGAACCCAAAAGATACTAAGTATAATTCAGTCAGCTTTGGCTAGATAGTACATAGCTGCGCTGTTTGAGCAGTTACAGTAGGTACTGAAAAGAGTGCCGCCATGATGAAATAGTACTTGCGCTTACGTGCCAGATTTATAATGTTCATGTCGATCGGCTGGCTATTTTTTTTTGACCGCTATTTATTTTTCCAGAATCCGAGACATTGATTTTTCGGTCTACATCTACAACAGAGAGAATGATAAATCGGTGGGCCTTGAAATTCATTGGGACGCTAACAGGGATCCTAGTCAAAATTTGGTGTTTAAAGGAAGTTACAAGAAAAATGCTGCTTATGATCATGTGGCCAATTTTATGATTGTATATCCTGGAAAATTTGTAAAGGGAGACTACCGTTTCCTACTCCAGAGTAAGTCTCTACTTTCAAATATATATGTAGCTGGTAATAGTAGCAATTATCTTAAGTAAAGCATTGCTACTAATATAGAATCCATTGCAGTAACTTGGGATAAGTCCATCTTATGCGTAGACTTGTCATAAGGTTTCTCAATTTGTAACGTACAAATAGCTGAGTTGCTACGAGGGATGTCTTTTAAGTTTTGCATATGGAAATAAAACAACACGTCAACCCGTCCACGTTTGAATTCTCCATACCAACGGGAAATTGTCGACTGATGAGGCGCTTCGTTGCCGAAAACAGACCGTAACTCAGCAAGGCATTCTTGTTGCGATAATTGTCTCTGAAAGTTGGAATTAATTATGGCGCGAAAATGTTCTCGCTTGAGTTCCATTTTTCCAATGACTTGGTGACACTTAAAAATTCACTGTAGTGAGAACACTGCACGTATTGTTGTGAAACTTTGAATTTAAGTTTACTAAAGAGTGAGGTTAAGATTCAATACTGACATACGATCCGCGCGGCCTACTACGTTACTATATGCAAAACTTAGAAGACATCCCTCGTATTTAAAGAGGTGTGTGATAATATTTTTGTGATAATGAAAGGCATATCGAAACTTGTCAGACTGGACGGACTCAGGAATCGGTTCCAGCGACTCAAGCATTGGTTGGTCTTATATTTCCATCGAAATCTTTTTTAACGATTTTTATTACCAAATACGAGGGTTGTTCCAAAAATAAGGTACCCAACGCTGTAAATTTGCCGAACGTGATGCTAGGCGAAATCTGGCAACACCGTCGCTTTTGTTGGCTCCTCCACCACCGATCCTCACAAGAAGTACCTATTGGCGACGTTTAGTACCAATCTCACAGCTATGCGTAATGGCGACCTTCATCGCCGTCACAATTTGTGAGGTCATCCGATTTGTGCACGTTGCAAGTATATAGGAAACGTGGATAAGCATTCAACATGTCTTCAAGTGATGAAGCGGGAGGCCGACGATCTCCAATGGAGGTGATGACGAAGATTGAGCAAATCTTGCTTGCTCTGAAAAAGCTGAGACAATCAATCCAAAATCGTCGTAGGGCAAGCGTAAGACTGCACCGCAACAATGCGGATCATCATGTCTCACAACAAACGATTAATCGAGATATTTGGCCGGACATCATTGCCCACCCCCTTACAGCTCTGACACAGCGTTTACCAAATTGAAGAAGCACCTAGGCGGTCAACGCTTCGAGACGGACGAGGAGTTGTGGATTTCGCATCTAAAAACATGGCGACCATGGAGAAAAGCAGCTTGAAGATCAACGTTTCCAATGGTGAATTCGTTTTATCAAACAAAAAATTCCTTGTGATTAAAAAGAAAAATGTGGGAACCCTACTTTTGAAACAACCCTCGTATTTTAATCATGGTTGGACTTATATTCCCGTCTGAATCATTTTTTTACCAAATAAAGGTAGTTGAAAACTAAATTGTTTCAAGTGTGGTAAAAATGACCACTATCGTATATATTCTCTCATTCTCATTCTATATTTATCTGATCTCATGGATGATATACATCATATTATTAGGAGAAAAGTAAGTAACTTTTCTGTGCAAAAAATCAATTTTCGTAATCGATAGCTGTATTGAAATGAAACTTACACCTATAGTTAGGTAACTTGAAACGTCTAATTTAAATATGACCGTGAACAATCATAAGGTCTCATGAAGTCATGTTTGAGGTAAAAAATTAAATGCCTGCGGTCACTCGTTAGTTCCAGCACTATTCTCACATTGGACTTGAAATAAGAGAAAATTATACATTGATATATTGTGTTTGATAAGTTCAAATATATATTATCAACTAAGAAGAAAAAATACTACTAAGTCACTCATCACATGCAACATGATACTTTACTCAGATAAGGAGAACTTTTTGATCAGCATTAAATATTGACATACGTATTTTACATTCCAGCTATACAGGGTGTAAAGTTAGTAGTGGATCAACGGAAGTCAGGTGATAGAGGGCCTCAAAACATATCGAATGAACCCCGATATGTGTGGTGCGAAATTTTATAGTTCAGGACATTCTTGCAATTTTGTGAAATTTCGAAAAAACGGGATAATGCACTTTCGATCGCAATTACAACTAAAGCATTAGGTTTAGGGCTGTGATTTTTTTTGAGGTGAGCTAAATAGCTAGTTTTGGCAATGCGTGTGTCACTTTTTTACAGACCTAATTAGAAATCAACGCAAAAAATCTTAAATTCATTTTTTTGTGAAAAATCTCTACCATCCCTCAACTTTGGAGGGCGGTAAAAAATTGAGGTTGTATTTTATTATTCATTTTATTGTAAAAACTATTTCAATCCATGTGCTCGCAGAATAAGCCCTGAGAATGTCAGCTTGCTAAGATAAGTGCCCCACCTTAAAAATTATGTATATTTGACGCAGGTGGGTAAACAAGAAATGCTAATTTACGAGCTACCGTCCAAATGACTTGATGGATTTTGACATATGAGGTACTGTTAGATTCGTCCCAGCAATGCATTGCATAGAATATGTACCATTGGACGTTCGAAGCCACATTTTCAATGCGATGGTGCCCCATGCCACTTTGCACGGGATGTCCGGCATTACTTAGACAGTACCTTTACTCGGCGTTGGATTGGTAGAGGTGGACACATAATATGGCCTCCAAGGTCACCCTATTTATATCCTCTAGATTTTTTTTATATGGGGGTCTTATAAGGGGATAACCTAGACATCTACATATGCTAATGTCAACCAACTGCACCAGAAAATTGGTGAAGCAAAAACAAAAGTTATGGAAAACGCAAATTCATTTCAAAGACTAAACGACAATTTTATTAGAAGGTGTCGCTTGTGTATAGAAAATAATGGAGGCCATTTTGAACATGTTCTTCAAAAGTTATTTGGATTAAATTATCTTCCACATTTGTCGGTAAATCGCCATAAAGAGCGGCTAAACACAAGAGGTTCTGAACCTGTAGGTGGTAAGGATTCTACTGCGTTTCTTAAGTTTATCGCGTCACAACAACGAATGTGTCACGATAAACTCATCGTAGCAAGCTAAAATTTTCAGGGTTTATTCTACATCGATTGAAATACGTAGTTGTTACAAAAAATTAATAATGAAATACAACCTCAATTTTTTTTACCGCCCTACAAAGTTGAGGGATGTAAGATTTCTCACAAAAAAATAAATTTAAGATTCTTTGCGTTGATTTCTGAAAAGCTCTGTTAAAAAGTGACATGACCATTGATAAAAGTAACCATTTAGCTCATTTCAGAAAATAATCACGGCCCTAAACCCAATGGTTTAGTTGTAATTGCGATTGAAAGTTCATTAGCCCGTTTTTTCGAAATTTTACAAAATTGCAAATATCTCTTGAACTATAACATTTTGGACCTCACATATAGGGATTTACTCGATAGGTTTTGATGCTCTCTATTAGCTGACTTCCGTTGATCGACTACTAATTTTACACCCTATATATTATCAAAGCATTTATTGGTTCATTTTGTAACTAATCTTATTGTAATGTCAGCAATACAGAGCAATATATACCAATATGTAGAATGCAATGGAACTTTTCACGGAATGTTTACATGTAGCTGTTTATGAATTCCTGGGAAACTCGTGATTCAACCTTCTTCATTTTAATTTGCAGAGGGACGGATAAATACGTTGGCTTACCTGGAATGGGACACTGGTGTATTCAACATAGACGTGGACATACTGTACGATTTTGAAACGAAATGGTTCCTACAATTTACTTCGAAAGTTCTTACCCCATTTGACCATTGGAAAAAAATGACGCTGGATGGAAGGTAAGATATACTTCAAAAAATATAAAAAAACATAGGAAGTATAAATGGCAACACTGATGGTTCATGCTATCCGCTCAGTGTGAGAGAGTAGAGTCAACATACGAGGGTTGTTCCAAAAATAAGGCTCGGAAATTTTTTTCAGTTACACGGAATTTATTATTTCAAAAAACGAATTCACCATTGGAAGCTATTTCGAACCGTTGACCGTCTAGGTGCTCCTTCAATTTTGAAAATGTAAAAATCGGATGACAGCACAAATTTCGCATCTGGCGGTGACGGCGATGAAGGGCTACATTGAGCATGACTGTCGGACCAGCACTGAGAATCGCAAATAGACGCTTCTTGTTGGGATCGGCGGTGGGGGAGCCAGTAAACACGACGCTGTTGCTAGATTTCACCTAGCATCACGCGCGGCAAGGATACAGCGTTGACAACCTTATTTTTGAGACAACAAATATATAATAATAGCGTTTATTGTCCATCAGTTCCACCATTTATAGGACAATTAAATAAACGAAATTGAGCAACTGTTTTTGACAGCTTGAGAGAACATACAGGTACGAGAGTTACAGGTTACTGTACTTACACGGTGGTACCGTGGTGGGTGCCCACGAGGCGGCGTGGTGGAACGAGAAAGAATTGGAGAATCTTTCTTAATTCGGCTGTTTCACCAGAATGTGTCTTGATTGTTCTCTCGTGTGAGTTTGTATAAATTTGCTCGACTTTCTTAACTCCGGTGTTACTTATACCAATACTTGGGTTGTGTCATATTTTCATTTTTCATTTCAGATTCGATCACGAGGGCAACAAATACGATATCCATGGTGTCATGTCATGGAACAAAAGGGAAAGAGTAGCAGTGGATGTTTTTGGTGATTATACGTCCACAGGCTCGTATTTTACTTGCAAATACAGCTGCTCGATTGCAAGTTCGATTGATCGCGTGCCAAATATAAATACGACTGTCAGCCACAGACAGAACGATACTAATTTCGATACCAATTTGTTTTTAATGGTAAGTTCCATGTTAACATGAATAAAATGTACTCTATACCTGTCGATATTTCGTACTGAAATAGGGGTAATCAGCCAGGGTGACTGATCCTAGATTTAGTTAGGCTTGCTGTACGTCTTCTCAGCAAGCCTCGTTGTCAATTACGATTTATGGATTTGATATGTTCTACTTTGGAAAAAATGTAAAGAGTGTCTCAATAAGAGCGCCGGATTTGATTTTCAAGTAAAACACAATTTCTTTTCGAATTACGCGAGTATTTATATTTCAACACGAAGAGAAATAGTGGCGATTAAACATGAAATAGAAAATCCGGTAAATGGCCACCACGAAACCTCTGGTACAGGGTCAGTCTTTTCTTAAAATTCTAGATAACGTTTTCGCACAACTGTGGTTCTATTTCGTCGACTACGCGCCATATCCCTTCTTTAAGGCATTCAATTGTTCGCATACACCTTTTCCTTCACATAGCCTCGGAGGAAGAAGTCCATTGGCGTTAGATTGCACGATCTTGGTGGCCAATTTTGATCGCCAAACCGAGAGATGACACGGTCTGGAAACCTGGTCCGCAGTAACACAAGTTGCACCACGACAACGCCCCGGCTCACACCGCCTTTCTTGTGAACAGCTACCTGACCAAGGCCGGCATCCCAACGCTTCCGCAGCCGCCCTACAGACCAGATGTGCCCCCCCTCCGGACTTACCTTTCCTCGCCTGAAAAGGTCGATGGAAGGCAAGCATTTTGAGACGACAGAGGGGATCCAAGCAGCATGCACCGCGGCTCTCAAGGCTATTTCGGAGAATACCTTCCGTGACGCCTTCAATGCTTGGAAATCGCGCTGATAGTGCTGCATCGACGCAGAAGGAGCCTATTTTGAATGTTTTTAAAGAATTGTAACGATTGGCTCAATACATTTTTTTAAATCGACTCAGTCCTATTACTTTCCGGACAAACCCTGTATATTTTCGAGGGACCAACCAGGACGGCGACCAGCAGTAGTCTGCACATTCGGCAACGTGAATTTTGTCTAAAATTTTGTAATTAAACGGCGAAATGTCGACTCATTTGGCGTATTATTGAGACCGAAAATTGTACGTAATTTGCGAACAGTTTCCGCGTTTTGTAGTGAGTTGTCACAATAATTAAACGTTGCTCGTTTGAATACTGCTCGATGACGTCTAACCGCGTGGTCTGGACATGACAACTGTCATCAAGTAAACACCATACCATTTGTACAAAAAAATTACGTCAAAATCAAATCCGGAGCTCTTGTTGAGACTATATGGCCTTCGATGTCCAGCAAATCATGTAAGGAATGTTTCATCCTTAACGGGAATCATTAGTACTGTTCGGGTGGGACGAGAAAATAAGCTGAACAAGTAACTTAAATCAAAGTTATTATATACTAAGTGACATATAAATCCGAACACCCAGTTTAAATGGTTTTATTTCAATAAAAGTTGGTGAATGTATTTATCTTACTGTAAATAACAAGTAAAAAAAAATTCAGCCTTATCAGTTGGACATTCCGGTTTTTATACTGCTTTTTCTTAATTCACTAACGCTCTAAAAATGAATATTTCAGCCGCAGTAAAGAATCAACGTTGGCGGATTTTGGTTCTTGACATCCTTTACGATCGGTTACGATGCCTAGAGTACGGAGACCTGTACGATTTCGTCAACTTAGTGAGTTTGATAGGGGTCGTATAGTGGGACTTCGGGAAGCTGGACTTTCTTTTCGGGCAATTGCAGTTAGAGTGCAAAGAAGTGTAGACACTGTGGTTAGGTGTTGTCAGGCATGGCTTCGAGAAGGCCGTATGCAAAGAGCAAGGGGCACTGGACGCCGCCGTAGAACAGACCGTGAAGATCGCCGCCTAAGATTATTGGCCTTAAGGGACCGTTTCTCCACTACCAGGTCCATTGCAAATAAATGGTTTACAGAACACGGAAGACCTATTGGCATGCGAAGTGTTTACCGACGAATGAGAAGTTTTGGCTTGTTTTCATACCGGCCACACTCGGTCCTCCCTTTAACTCGAGAACACTGACGTAATCGCCTTGAGTGGTGCAGACAACGGTCACTCTGGGATGAGGAATGGAACAGTATTGTCTTTAGTGACGAGTCTCGATTTTGTTTAGGCATGCACAATGGTCGTGCCAGGGTTAGAAGGCGACGTGGTGAAAGGAGGAATCCACAGTTTTTTGTTGAAAGACATGTTCATCACACTGTTGGAGTAATGGTTTGGGGTGCTATAGCTTATGGTTCCAGGTCACCTTTAATCTTCATCAGAGGTAACATGAACGCGCAGCGTTATATCCACGAAGTTCTAGAACCCCATCTTTTACCCTATCTTGACACCTTGGCAGATCCAACTTTCCAACAAGATAATGCCCGACCACATGTTGCAAGAGTCACAATAGACTTCTTTCAACATAATGATGTCACATTGTTACCATGGCCACCAAGATCTCCCGACTTATCCCCAATTGAGCACGTGTGGGATATGATGGGTAGGAGATTGCTCAATTTGCAACGTCCTCCTCAGAATCTAGAAGCACTTCGAGAGGAGTTGGTGGTTGCCTGGAATGAGATGCCACAGGACATTGACCACCTGATCAGAAGCATGCCTAGGTTGCGTTGGAGAATGCGTAGCACATCATGGTGCATTATTAAAGGTCAAAGGGGTTTAAAGCAGTGCAATCATTTTGAAATTTTTATCATTTACTTATTATGCTTCATTAAGTACTTATACAAAATTTTATTAAAATAAAATCATTTAAACTGGGTGTTCGGATTTATATGTCACTTAGTATATTATCTGAGATACTTGTTTCAATATCCTGTATAATATAAACGTTCCTTGCAGTATAATCCCGAGTTTGTGATCGGGCTTGACAGTCAATGGCGGATAGAATCCGACAACCAGACGTCCAATCTAACAGGCACAATTCACTCAAGAACCCCATTCAAGGGATTAGCCAATGGCGTGCTAGTAGGAAAGATATCTATAAAGGATAACTATATGAAAGGATACGGCCAACTCGATATCGACCATAAAAAAATGAGCATTGACATGGAAGGAAGATTTAAAAAACTTACTAATTGCATGTTGATGGTTAACCTAACTGCACCAGAAAGCGAGTACAAGTTGAGGTTTGTAATTTCTGCGGAGCAAAGGACATTCATTGCTATGCTGACATATCCTACAGGAAGTTTTGGAACCGAGGTCATCTTTTTGGTACACAGTCTTGGCGATTTTGATACGAAGTTTCATCTTGCGACGCCTGTAGAATTCTTGCAAGATATCATTGTTGCTGCTAAGCTCAAACCCGAAGAGGTAAGTTCAATTTAGCAAAGTATGGATCAAATATTTTGGATGTCTGTCAAACAGGCCCATAGGCATTCTTTCCCTGCCCTATCGGTTGTACTATCTGGCAACGTCGCCCCTTCTCTATACTTGATCACACGACGCATCAACCGTGGCATAATGACAGGAAACATCGAGACTGACACGCCTGTCGGTGAACCTACAGAGCAGAAGCAGCGACAAGTATCGAAAACATTTCTCTATCATTCCTTCTAATAGGTTCGTAAAACTATTGAGGTTGGGATTACATAAATATAATAACATGCTTAAACTTCCAACTTTTCCCTACAAAAAATTTTCTAGAAAAGTTAATAAACGAGGTTTGAGAGATCTGTTTTTTTTTCTTTTCCCCAAAGTTCCGCGGCCACTGAACCGATTTTCAAAAACCACATTATATTTTCGTCCTTGACATAGCAGTAACCTTGTGTGGAAATTTCATGAAAATTCGAGTTGTATTTTCCAAGTTATAGACACATGTCACATGTCCCAGAAGTCGACGTCAAGCCGAAACCGGGTGATAGGCAAAGTCAAGCTATCAGAAAAATATTTAAAAAAATTTAATGTATGTGTTTTGAAAATTATAGATCTTTCCTTCCTTACGAAGACGTGGTGCTAGGAGCTGTCGAAGAAGACCCGAGTACTTCAGTGCGTGCAATAGAACTAAAAACAGGTGTGCCCAAAAGTAC